GACAGGAATAATTTGAAAAATAAATAATACATATATATGTATTATATATAGGGATGGGTATTGTTTAGGTTTTATCTGATACCGGTACTTTTGAAACGGTGCCGGTGCTTAAACGGTGCTCAAACCGGTGCTTAAAGAATGGAGAACACAAAATTGGTCCAAAAACCTCTCATGTTCAGCTGTGTTTTTGTAAAAAGATAACAATGTTAGCCTTTTCTGCAGCTATAGGGCATATATGGTATCACTCTTGGCTGGAAGCAGTGCTTAAACAATAGAAAAAACACAAACTTTGTCCAAAAACCTCTCATGTTTAACTGTTTTCCACTTTTTCTTTGGTCATTTTAGCCTTTTTGGCCAGCGTGAAAGGAGTATCTGCCATCACACAAGAAGACAGCCGCATGTAGCTATGATGATGTTTGCTAGTTCACCTTACATGCATTAATGTAATAACGTGGTTAGCCTACTCGTTTATGTCAGAACCGGAGCCATCATGGCACCGGATACCGGTACCCATCCCTAATTATATATATATATATATATATATATATATATATATATATATATATATATATATATATATATATATATATATATATATATATATATATATATATATGTGTGTATGTGTGTATGTGTGTGTATATGTGTATATATATATATATATATATATATATATATATATATATATATTATGTATGCTGCTGGAATGTAACCAGAAGAATGCAGTCATCTACATGCCAAAGTGTACTATTTTAAAATGAATTTTCCATATGAATTTTTAAAAGATTTTAAAGGATTATTTCCTGTATATTTTATCATTTATGGAAGTGTCAGCTACAAAAAACTGATAATACACTGCCACAAACCTACAAGGACATTTTTTGCATGAATTATTTATTTATAATTTTTTTAAAGTGCATATAAGTAATTGTAAAACCTTTACATGCAAATTATTTGTAAGCAAACTCTAGAAGAAAGCGAAAAGATTTCCTTGTTTTTGAATTTGTAGAAATATTTCAGTTTTGCATGATTATCCAAAATGACATACAATAACTTTGCAGGCTGTTGTTTTGCCCTGAGCTTCACTACGATTGGCATGATATTCTCTTTAAAAATGTGTTTTTCTTGGTTTGGCTGCGTCTCACCCAATCCTCACTCGTGATATCATCTGTGTTTTGCCTCGTCTCTTCATGCTCTTTTTTTCTTTCCTTTTTTTCATTCCACTCAACTGGCTGTGATAGATAGCAGGCCCTTCCTGACCCTGATGGAGATCCCTTGAATGTTTATATTTTCTCTGTAATATGTAGGGTCTTCACCTTGCAGTATAAAGTTCCCTGAGGCAACTGTCGCTGTGAACTGGCACAATACACTCAGCATCTCCTATGAGTCCATTACGTGCACATCAACCGAAAAGATCTGAAAACAAAGCTCAAGTATAAATCTAATAAATTCTAATCAATAAAGTCCACAACTTCTTATAAGTTTCCACTACACTTTAATTTTTTTTTATTTCCAAATGTCTTTAACAGCATCTTCAACACTCATATTCATCTTCTAATTAGCATTTGAAGCTTGACCAGATTTTCCACTTCAAATTCGGTGGATGAGAAGCGATGTCTCTACACTCTGTCTGGTTCATCTTCAAACCCCCCATCCACCCTTTTGTCATACTCTCTCATGTTAGGATATCTTCTTTTTCCATCTGGGATACAGATGACTTTTAAAGAGTATGAAACTCTCTGGTATGACGAGAAAATGAAAGAGAGAACAGAAAGGAAAAAATTTAAATAACTGTAATTTGTCTGGCTTGAGATCCTGCAGATCTTGGAGGCTGCATTTCATTTCAAATGAAAAGACAGCCCGAGGGCTTGATAAAGAAACTTTATAGATAAGAAGGAGTGAATAAACATGCATAGAAAAATTGTTACGAGTACAACAGACGTGTTATGAGCTTTGAAGTGAAATTTGGCTTGCTGCTGCTCTGTCTCTGCCTGTGGTGGCTCTTGAGAAAATGGACCAGGTGCATAGTATGCACAGCAGCACATGCAGTACTTTCTCTCTATTCACTATCCAAGGACTGTCATAATAACTGAGTGGCCACATTCATGGACTGATATAGTTCAGTTTCTCTAGATTTCAATGTTTGCCTTGGAACTGGATTACACCCGTGTTTCATGATCCTGAAGAAAACAGCAAAACACGTTTCAGTTGAGCTGAGTTCATCTCTCCTAGAGTAACTGCCTGTCTCCTGGAATCTCCTATATGTTATTGAGACTGTGCTGGGAGACACAACAGACCTTCTGGCAATGTCACTTACTGATGTACAGTTTTGGGGGATGGGCTACTTCTACAACCTTTTACCCAAGTATGGTAGCATTCAAGTATTGTCTCATGCTAGTGACACGGACACTGGCCAAATGCAAAACTGCTGCAAAAACTGTCAGAAAAGATGAAGAGGGGAAAATGTCAGAGTAGCAGTTCAGTTTGTTACAGTCAATGGCAAAAGAAGTTACAGTGTAGTCTCACTGCTGGCCTTTTAGCCTTGAGCATGTTTGCCTTATCCCCTCCAGAGTACTACAAGTTCACAGACAGTAAATTGGTATTTTGATGGGCTATCTTTGTCAGCCTGCAGTCTCATTAGCACATTTAACATTTTTGGTTTATGGTGAGGAGATATCAGCTGAAAGGATTTGTTGTTCTGCAGCAAAGTATTATCATAAAAACACGGAGACGGGTATAAACATTCACTATAAAGACAGCTCCTTGGGCTCTCCCACGCTCCGTGCTGTTATTAAAGCTGGTTACAGGTACTTTCTCTTATAGTCTTTATCTCTTTTAAATAATTCAACACTTGCCCTACGGTTCCCCCACCGTCTAAAACTGATGGATGGCAAATGTTCAGCACTACTGTACACGGTGTTCTCTGAGAAGTGTTGAACCATTTTCTCATGCTGCATGAATTATTAAGAGATTGTCACCAACATGTTCTTCCATCACTAAATTGAAATGTGTTTTCCTGAAGGAGTCCAAACACACCCCCCCCCCTCCCCCCAAACACACACAAAATTATGTAGGGGGAGATTTAAACACAATGCAACAAGACTGCAAAAAAAGCCTCACACATTTCCCTGTCAGTGGATGAGAGTCTGCTTTGTGGAGTCGATCCATCAGCGAAACCGTTTATTCTCAGGTCCTCGACATGTCATTGAAAGTGAAGACAGTTTCAGTATACAGGAGGGAAATCTCTCATTACATTCAAAATAGAGTGAGAATGCAAGCCAAAGGAGTAAAGCCACAACAATAATTCAAGGGAACTTGAAAATGGGAACGATTGCAATGAATCCCTCACAAAACCTGAAGAAAAAGTAAATTAAAAAAAGTTCTACTATGTGTGTGTGTTAGTGTAGGTGTGTGTGTGTGCAAATGGCGAACATACAGAGGACCAGCATCCTGTACGAAACCGGCAAGCTCTGTCATCAAATTCTGCAGCGGCAATGGTGCTTCATACATGGCCTGGTTGTGCAGACAGTGCACATCTGTACAGGATAAAGTGTTCAATGCTTTATCCACAAGGACGACTCTGATCTGGATGCCTGAAGAAAAAAATCGTATCAAAGCCTCAGCTGAAACATTTCAATCCTCGGAAGAAAGGCATGCCAAAAAGGTCAAAGATTATAGTTAATGACACAAAAGCTCCCTTGTAGCTGGTGGAAAGTTAGTGTTACACTTGGGGGCTCCGCAGCAACACAGAAAAGAGCTTGGCAGGTGAAGCTCACTGAAAAGCCTCTGAGATTTCAATAGGTAAAGATTTGCAGATATTCAGAAGGCTTCATTTGAAGCAGCTCTGCATTGCCCACAGTGTGAGGATGATGCCTCATGACAAGGGCAGCATCAGGCAGATTTAAGCACAAAGGCGGATTTGTGTGTAAACTGTTATAGAGGTCAGAGGTTTCATCAAGCCAATTAGTGACGTCATATAGACGATGCTCATATAAAGGTTTCAAAGACAATCTTCTAGCAGCATTATGTTCTCAAGCAATTAAAACTACATTCAGGCACAAAGAGTGTTAGGAATATTTTAAATATGCCCGTCTTCACTTCAGTAATTACTTTTCAGCATTATTTCAGGCAGATCCTGATTTTCTTTCAGCAAACATTAATTGGAAAGTCTCTGAGAGCGTTCAGACTGTGAGGAATTAAACAATGATCAATTCACGTCAAATAATGTCTGATAAAAATACCATTTTCGAAAAAAGTAGCCCCAAACTGATGTGAACAATTACATAGAAAATTCGTCTCTAGAGCTTTTGTTGCAATGACCTTCAGGACAGGAAGTCATTCAGTCCAGATGAAGTGCCCGCTATTGTCCTGGACGCAGAGGATCAAGTGAACCGTGCAATCGGTCATCCTGAGGGTAATGAAATATTTGCTTCGTGGATGCTGCCGGCAATGGGTGAGGTGCTGTTGGCAATTTCCAGGTTGCCGCTGACCTTAAGGAAGATGCCATTTATTCTAAGCAGCAGTGGAGGTCAGAGATCACCATGAGAGGTAGAGGAAGCTATTTTGGTGCCCCGACAAACCCCACTGTGCTGTCTCGCACTAATAAACAGTGCCTCATATCAGAAGCCCACTTTAATTATGTATAGGTTACAAATCATTTGGCGGTTGTTAATTAATATTTAATTGTGAAGCCTTGTTGTTTCATATTAACAAGACAGTCAGAATGAACAATGGCAAATATTTTAACTTTGCAGAACAAGAATAAAAAATAAGAAGTGACAGCGTGCTTTAAATAATGAATGCGATGAATGATGTCATCCGTATGTCGCTTTATGTCACCAACACATATTGTCCTAATTCTAAACAAAGGCGATGATGAATGAGCCTGGTTGCTGCGGTTGTTGCTTAAATATACTAATCAATATCAGTGAGGATTAGTGCGCTGAAAGATGTTTCCATGACAACCTCAGTTAAACTTGATTTATTCGAGACACGCTCCTCAGAGGCCCGCTGAGACAACGGGTTGCTATAATGTGCGCATGGCTCATTAAGCTCAGGTAATAATGAACCAATGGCAAGCTCAGCTTGTCTCATCTAATCCTTATTTTCTGCAAGAAACACTAGATGGCAGCGCAGGCCAAGCAATGGCCGCCCACCGAGCATCCACTTGGCAGAGTGAGATAGAATCCACCAGTTGTTCCTCCAGCACTTGTGCGGTTTCTGTCGGCAGCTGCCGCTGAGTTCGTTCACTTTCAGGCGTTATTTGCTGAGGAAAGCCTACCCTCCAAGGTCAACAGATCACCTGCGGACCCCCGAACCACGCCAGGACACCCAGTTTCTTCTGGAGGAGCGCTGAGCAGTTGGAGCTGATTGAAGGACGCCATGCATTACTTCTGGATATACAGCGTTTGGATCCCCTTCCTCGCTTTCCTCTTCGGATTTCAAGGTAAGAGAGACAGTTTCATTCGTTTGCCCTGTGAGTGTAGCAGGAGTTAGACTATGCTGTGATGCAGTTTTGGGCTGTTTGGAAATTGTTTGGAGCTGTGTTAGCTGCCTGTTAGTGCCTCATTCTGTTACATGGCCCTTTGAATTGTGGCTGTTGCGCACTTAGGAAACTGTATCACTAAGTGTATGACTTTAGACATTAAATGATCTGTGTCAGACAGACCTCGCTGCTCAGCAAGGTCAAGGTGCATAACACGTTTGTAAACTTGATAGATGCCAGGGGTCGGACAAGTGGCACAGCAGCAGCACGCCTGCACGGAGACCGAAGGTGAAGTTCGTCTTTGCTGTTAGTGGGGAGGTCCAGGGCAGACAGGAGCAGACTGAGACGATTCCCAAGTGTTCAGATCAAAGCTTCCAAGTTTCATCTACATTTCCTTACTGGTGGCTCTCTGGGAAACCGGATGCTTGTCTTTTGAGGGCCAGAGAGCATGTTTGCGAACATCCAATTGGTTAAAATGTGATTCTGTGTAGTTTAAATCAATTTTATCTATTAGAACCCCCCCCATAGATGAGACCTAACCAAGAGGCTCTCACGTGACACTTTCATCTGTTGATGGTTATTTGAAGTTTTTGATACTCAGTAACAATGTGATCTCAATTGTATAAAAAATTGCAGTTATATGTCCAAGAGTGATTTTGGAACACTCTAGTAGACTAACCCATGGAAGAGTGAAAGCCACCCTCTGTTATAAAGCTAGACAGTGTTGATCACATTCTCACCTAATCTACCAGTCTTATTTAGTCTATACTGGATCTTTTCTCTGTCCATTGATGTGATCTGACCTCACAGATCTACTTTGCTTTCGACCGCGAGCGCTCTAATTGAGCTGATTTAGCTCCTCTCCGGGAGTTGAGAGTTAAATCAATTTGGTTCTTTTGTCTCCCATAGGAGCACGCTACCTAGAAAAGCATACGGCCTGACCAAGCATATTGGATTCAGTTTGACAGTGGTCTGATGCTGGCAAGCAGCCTGGGATAGTGTGATGTGCCAGATTGGGGCAACTAGAGAGCGAGAGAGGAAAGGAGGAGAGGAAGAGACATAAGTGGAGATAGGAAGAGAGAAAATTTGACATGTTGAACGGGAATCAGACAGATTTTTTAATTTTTTGTTACATTCAAAATGAGTTATTGGCAGTAAGTAATGCTCTCAAGCATCCTCAAGCACCTCACTGCACAGGATATCAGTAGGAGACTGAAGAACGTTAAAGTGTGTTTGAATACTCAAATGTTACCACTAGTTCTTTGATGGTGAGAAATGGTCTGTCTCCCTTCACTATTACTTTGTACCTCTCTTTATTTCATCCTCCTCTTTCCTCGCCCACGAGTCTTCTTTTTATGCAGCTCATGTAGAGCGCACTGCTTGTCCTGAATTTTAAAGCACAAATGGCAGATTACTTCTCAGAGCAGAGGCTTATGAGAAGTTTGCTTTTAAGCTTGGTGTACTGTAGCACACACGGTAAGAATAACTGATTACTATCATCGGATTAATGTTGATTTTTTTGGTTATCTTATTATCATTTTTTTTAACAAGTTTTCTGCTATGCCGATAATGATAAATCCTAGAAACAGAGCCAGCCACATTCCATCAAATCTCCAAACAGTTGTCTTGGCAGATGCACAACTGTTGTCTACAGTCACAATCAGCACTGGCACTGAACTGTGCTGTCTGGGGATGTGGCTCATTTACTTACCAAGCCACTGCTGATAAAGAAAAGAATGATGGATGGAGATTTGGTCTGTCACTTCAGCTGCTGCTTCTGCTTCCTCCTCCTAGTTGCGTCTTTTCCATCTTTCACAGTGTTCATTTCAAACTGTTATACTGTATGTGGCCAATTCAGCTGGGACAAGGCCTCTGACTCTGTGTTACCATATTAGTTGTTGCATATTTTATAGGTTAGACTGTGGCAAGCTGCATACAGAAGTGTCAATCAGAGATCACATTATCGGAGGGAGGGGAAGCTGGAGAACTTTCAGGGTGTCTGTAAGGTAGTCTTAGATTTTTCTGTAGACGTGTTGGGGATATTTATTATAGGTGGATTATAAAATGCCACCTGCAATGTTTTCCAAAAAATAATTGCCTTGTATAGAGACAGTCTACAAATGAATTATCATTTATCGATGTGGTGTTCTATTTCTTTGTAAAACAAATTCATCTTTCTTCACCAAGTACAGATTGGTTTTTTTTTTTATTCTTCAAAGAGTTGCCTTCCTGCTTTGATCTTCATATTTGCCTCCTCATCAGGGCACTAGAGTCCCTCTCCTGATGGTTTCATTTAATTAATTAGGACAAATGACAGTATGTAATGTTAATAGTGGCTGTTTTGCACATTACCTTCACAGTGGGAGAGAGAGACGCCATACAGGAAGGTAGAAAGAAAAGAGGAAAGGACATATTTAGTCATTTATCTAGTTTTCTTTTAAGGAATTAGTAGATCCTAAGTTCCTACTAGGCATTTTTGACTTCTGTGTTGTAGAAAACTGAACACACAGCTTTTGTTAAGATAAAGCAGAACATAATAAAAATGAGACAATATTCATGACTGATGTCAGTTTTCTTGGCCTTAATCAGATTAGTGATGTTTTTGTAAGTGCGACCTGTCTATACCAATTTTTCTGATTTTTTTTTTTTCATTTGCTTTCTAAGTGACAGCATAAATCCATTTTCTTCAGTGCAGAATATTGTTATCATAATGAACTTAATTATTACTATAGTAAATTACAGAAGCTTAAACAACTGAAAATAAAGAGCTCAGCTACTGGGAAAAGCTACAAATAATTAAATGAAAAATTAAACCGGTGCACCTGCACCATTACCTTTGACCTTACCGAACAGTGCTGCAAATTTACATTTCACAAAACAATTATCAGGTTTTTCAGTATGTTTGTAACTTCATCAGATAACAGGTGTGGGAGGGTGTGGTTTGGTTCAGCTGCAGGGGGTGGGGTGGGGGGCGGAGCAGTGGGTTCAGGGTGTGGTGTCAGGGGAGGCTGATCTACACAGCTGTTCTCCATCACCTAATCATGCCTCCCCTATATTTGTAGGATGCCGGCTGGGACCTGATGGCAGAGCTGTGTACTGCACTGGAGAGAGGCGGCTGGAAAGCTGCACAAGGCCGCACAGAAAAATGAAAGAACATTGTCAAACCCCCCCCAAATGTTCAAGTGCCTGCAATGTGTGCCTTTGGTCCTTTCTTCCACAACAGGACATCGACTCTTTTCTCTTTTTTGATTTCCTCATAACTGCTTTGATCCTTTGCTCATACCGAGGCTGCTGGTTTGTGGCTGTTTCTGAGCTCTGGATTGCTTTAGCGTTAGCCACTCTAACTTTGTTAGCCTGATTGATCAGAGTGATTTAATAGTTACTGGCGGTCCACCAGTAGTTAACTTTGGCTAACAGACTGGCTAGGCCACTTTAATGGTGGTTGTCCCTGATTTAGTTGCCTTTCCAGTGAGTCACGCGTCTCCTGCTACATAGTCTCTGCTCGTGGCGGAGATTCATATCTTTTTTTCTTTTCTGGAGATCTACTGCAAGCTAGGGGACCACTAAAACCACAGTCAGCGGCAAGTGGAGCACTGGCTTATTTGTAGCTGTGCACTCACAGAGCAAAACTAGAAATATCTATAGTCAATTTTTGAGATTGAAAAGCCAGCTGAATGCTCTGTGTCCTGATTTTTTTTTTGAGAAACAATTCAAGTAAGGCAACATTTAGAAGGGCTAATTTCAATCTGTGATTTTAGTCTGAAGACTTGTCTTGATTTGTCTTAAACGGTGTATGGCAAGCACAAAATGAAGCAAAGCTAAACAGCGGGGGACAGCTTATGTATAGAGAATGAGAATGGAAAAAAAAAAGATTGGCAGAACAAAATGAAAAGTATGAATGTTGTTGAAATCTCTTGCTATCACTGCACATATTCTAGTAACAGTCTGTACTATGAGAACTATGTGTTTCTGTGTTGACAAATGGGACAGTGATGTGAAGTAGAAGTGGGTCAGTGAAAATGTAAACCCAACACTCATGATAATCATAATTATCACTGCCAATTTCAAGGTTTCAGTTTTCACTATTTAAATGATCTGTTTCCATTAAACCTACAGTAACGTGATTCTTCAGTATTCTGTTGTTCATGGATAGGTAATAGTAAATTAATTTGACTGGACTGTTTGTAATTTGCCATGATTTTCTTTCATGTGTGATACAAAACACACATGCACAGAAACAGCTTCCTCCAGGTCCTGATCTGATCAAATAGGCCTGCCACTTTCTGTCTTCTGCTCTTCAGTCTGCAGCCAAGCTCTTCGCATTTCTATTACTGACACAGTGGCTGCCTTTCCCAGCAGCGATCTCACACCACAGAGACCACAAAAGATGGAGGCCGGAGGTTTAGAAATCCTTTTTTCTCACTGTCACTTCAACTTTTCTTCTTTCTTTTACTTCAGAATGTTCCCTTTTGTAGTCATGCTCTTCTTTCAGGACTTGGCTATCCATTTTACATGACATAATTACCCCAAATGATTGTTTAGAGCAGGATTAAGGCTCCAGTAATTCCTCTCATGACATAAACTGATTGGAGCTTGAGGCCCTGCATTTTCAATTACCGCCATATTGGTGACTGTTAAATTCTATAAGACTACTAGCACCTTGAGTGATCATAAAGAACTGGATACTGTATAAAGCAGTATCAAGTCCATGAATAGGTCAGGCTGGTATTGAAGTGCTATGCTTACCAATGATATTCAGCAAAGCTGGAGAGGGAGCAGAAGAGTCAAACCCTGAGACAGCTGAGTGTCAGACCTTTTTGATATGTGGCATAAAAGTTAATACAGGAAGATTTGACCTGCTCCTTAGAACAATAGACAGACAGACAGTCTTTAGTGAGCACACTAGTTTTCAGAGTTGCTGGTGACCTATGAGCTAGGAACTGGAAGGCCTTTTAGGATAT